AGCTGCAGGAAAGAGGGCGGGGGTGTTAGGGAGATCCGAGGGCGCCCGCACATCCCCGGCTTCGGGAGCCACCAACATCCCTTGGGCACTCCCGCATTGCCGGTACCGACAATGAGGCAGGACAACCGCCGGGAAGGCAGCAGCCGCGGGAAGAGGTCAGGAAGGGACAGCTTGTCCTGTGCCGCACCTTCCGAGGAACAGCGGCTGTCCCACATCGGCGCAGTGAACTTGGGGGACAAGGGGCGAAGGCTCCGTGCTGGAGAGTGTGCAAGAGGGCTACAGGCCGGCTGCCTGCCCGCTCCCCCCAGCCCAGGGCCTGCCCTGCCGACCCCACAGCAGTACGGACACAAACCTTAAGGGTGTATTTGTAGCACTGTTCTGCCTCCAACTCCCGTCCTCCCTGGAGAAACGACACGCAAGCAGTTGGTGAGGAAATGTCCCGCAGGAAATTCACAGTGAAATAGCGTATTGTAAGGAAGTTCAGCACAAAGGATGTGTGCCAGGGATGTACGTGCATCAGGCATGTGAGGGCAGTGAGGAAGGGCACTGATTTTGCCATCAGAAAGTCTCCAAACTATTTTTACCACTGAGATCTACTATGTGTTCCTCAGGCTCATGAAGAGACACTGATAAAACCTCCCTGCTTTACCGGGCTGGCAGGGGGAGCAGCTGGCTGGGCACTCACTTGCAGACAGATGAGGGCGAGATATCCCCACACTTCAGCATTGGTGTTATTTAGGGCATTGGCTTCAGAAAGAGCATCCTCTGCCTCCACCATCTCTTCCAGCTTGAGAGAGAGAGAAGGAGAGCATGGAGAAAAGGCAACCAGCAGGCAGAAAGGGCTTCAGAACCAAATGGGCATCTGTTTTAACAGCCAAAAAATTTGAGAGCTTTCCAGGTTTGGAAAAGCAAGCATATTTTTTCATTACAAAACACCCATCTTCAGTTCTACCCTAAACACTGAGCACCCCTTGTGACTTAAATAAATTTATAGTGCAACAAAAGTGTCTATCAGGGTTTGATGCAGGGAAAGGATTTAGGGCAAAGACAACCAGTTATTCTCTGTCAGCATCCAGCTCTGCAGTCTGGAGGACAAGTGGGAGCACACACTGGATTTACAAATCAGCCCTCAGCTGTAAGGAAAGCAGAGCACAAACACCTTCAGCTCTGGGAACTGAGGGAGCCAGCATCATAGGGAAACATGATTCAGATCCTGGTCCCTACTCCCACTGGCCATTGGCTCCCAGGAGGCAAGGGTACCTGGCGCCTGGTGGACTGCAGCCTAGGCCACCACTCACTGCCCCAGCTCATCTGCAGCCTCCCAGGAGGTGTACGTTTGGCCAAAGGTGCAACGGAGAAGTTCAAGTTCCTTTCCTGTTTGCTTCCCTCAGCCAGACTCCCTCAGGAGGATCCTCACAAGGTATATGTCCAGGAGTTACCGCACTGCTGGGTGTCCTTGGCAGCCCTTCAGAGGCACTGGATTCCTTTGGGCAGGGAAAGCACCAAGACTGCTCTCTGCTAACATAGTGCTCAATTCCTTCTTGGTGACATGCAGATCATGTGCAGGCAGGCACTCGGAGCAAAGCCCAGGCCCAAATCACATCCTTGCCATGACATCCGAGGGAAGGAGGTGCTGGCAGCAGGACGGGGAGTGGAGGAAGGACTGCTGCTTCCAGAGCCGCTGCTGAGGGTGACTGTCCTCTAACACCTCCCATTCAAACAGCCTGGGGTGCCACACTGGGGCTGTGATGGCAGCTCGGCCAGGAACATTGGTTTCACAGGCAGCTGAGCTTTACTGTTATTAAAGGTTATCATGCAAAAGCAAGCCCTGCATCCTATGCCACAGAGCCAATTAAAGCACAAAGGACTTGAAGGTAATTGCACTTACCCTGTAGCAGGCGATTCCCACCCCCAGCCATGTGAGACAGGACGCAGAGTTCTTGCAGGCGAGCAGGTAGGTCTGCTTTGCTCGACTATACTGCAGGAGAGAGATGATCATGTTTCCCTCTACATCAAACATCACTTTGCACACAATAATTTGCCAAACATCTAATCTCTGGTGGGGCTCAGACGCACACCTTCCCCACCCTGTGGGGGTGGGCTGAGAGCCTGTCTGCTGCCACCGACATGGTGGCCCTATGCTGGCAAGTAATAATGTTATTAATTAGTAGTAATGTGGAAGTCCCCCTCATGCTAGGATGGTGAGAACAGTCCAGCGGCACCCTGAACCCATGCAACCAAGTCTGGCATACAGGAACAGGGCAGGTCCATGCTCCAAGGAGTTGAGAACTCCAAGGTTTTGCTGGGTAGTGAGATCTTGGCCATTGCTACAAATAACAGCACCTTGTGTCTGGAGTCTACTACTTTGTGTAAAATTCCCTTCGTCCACTCCCGCTGGCTCCTCACCTCTTTCTCTTCCAGGTAGATGGAGCCCAGGCGCAAGTAGACGAAGTGCATATCTGCAGCATCCTCCACAAAACTGATGGTTCGCTCATAGAACTCCTTTGCCTTGCCCAAGTCCCTCTTCAGGTAGCACAGGTGCCCTTTCTGAGCCCAGACATTTGGATTCTGCACATAAAAAGCCCAGAGTGAGACACAGCTGGAAGCCGTGAGGCAGAGAGACCCGGGAGACTGTCAAGGACCCCTGCAATCAGTGGAGAGGAAAAGATGACCGGTGTTTAATTACAGCATGACAGATTCTATGTAGAGTTAAAATCGAGTCAGTGGGCTGCCTGCATAACACCAAGTCCCCTTCAGCCTTTTCCTGCACAGTGTCCTGGCCCATGCAAGGCTCCCCAGCTGATGTGAGTATGCAAGGAGGATCTGGAGATGTCCGCTTCACAGGCCTCTCTGCCTTCCCTTCGACCTGACTCCCCAATGCCACCTTCCCTCTCTGATGAATAGCAGCCTTGTTTCTCATGAAACAGAGCCTG